TATTTGTCCCCCTTCCCTTAGGCGATCTTTCTTGTTACTTTTAACAAATTTTTGTCTCTTATTAGAAAAATAAGACAAGAAATCTTCAGAATAAACATGGGAAATGGTTATAAGTATTTCTTCAAATAACTCTGTCCATGTCATGTTCTAGTATAACATTCTTGATCGATTTACATCAAAAGAAATGAAGAAAATATTAAATCTTCCATTAGACTTGCATTGCGTTTTTATAAAAATTATAAATATGTTGCTTTGGGATCTGAACCTTTTTTTTTGGCATATGCAGTACGAAACAGGATGGTTTTCCCAGCGTATACTTAATTGTTTACGACAACGAGTCATGATGAGGTTTCTATCAGTGTTCCCAACTTCAGGTGCTGAAGCTTTACTTAGAGCAGCCTCTGAAAGTTTTGAAAGACTTAAGAGGGAGTATAGAAAAGATTGCTCAAAGATTGACCAGGGAAATGACCACCAAGCCAATGCAGGTTTTAAATTAAAACTGTACTCTACACTTTGGTCTTATTTGTGTGTTTACCTTTTTTCCCATTTCATTGGGAATAAGAACATAGCATGATTGAAAGTAAAATTCCCAAAACAATCGATGGGGATAGTAGAAATATGGCCACCAAATAGGAAGAAAGAAATAACATTCTAATTAGACTTATTAAGAAACAAATGAGTGTTGATGTGGAATAAACCCTAAGCTCGAGAAAAAGAAAGTTCATATTAAGAACAAGGTAGGATTTGTGTCTCTTCTAGTCTTCTTCTTCTTCTTCTTCTTTTTCTTTATTTAACTCCATGTATATTTTTGTGCATTTAATTGAATTTTTACAAATGCCTGGATGAAATTTGATCTATTTGTGAATTCTAACTTATTTTATATATTATGAACAAGGTAGGATTTAGTCTCTTATAGTCTTCTTATTCTTTCTTCTTTTTTTGTTCCCTTTTAACTCCATGTATATTTTTCTGCATTTAATTGAACAAAGATACACACTTTTAATTGGTATATGAAAAGGAATAAAATTGTTCAATGATAAAAATTCCGAGAGGAGTGAAAAGGAGAAATAAAAGAAGACAAATAACAAGACAACATATTTGAAAACAAAGCAAAGTTAACTAGGAGTTATAAATGCCTCTCAATTCATACAAATCATACTAGGTGAGTAATTATAGAATAAATCGGAAAGAGAACACCATTTCGAGACTTTGAACTTGGCAATGTTGAAACAATTCGAATGCCATAACTCAACGGCTATAAGGCTTAAACGGCTATAAAACAGACAAATCTTATAAGCTACATCAAATTCCCCCTACTAAAAAAAAAAACTCGTCCTTGAGTGTTACTTGGCTAGAACAAAATCGTCTTCTGCTTTGTACTCATATATGTCAGCTACATTAAAGACTGGATTAATCTTAAGGTCTGCCGATAAGTTGATCCGGTAGGCATTGTCGCCATATTGCTGGAGTACTTCAAAGGGACCAATTTTTTTGTTATGTAGCTTGTGATAAGTTCCCTTAGGAAAGCGAGACTTTTTGAGGTAGACCATAACAAGATCTCCGGGGTTAAATTGCTTGGTCGTCTATGAGCATCTTCTGTCGTTTTGTAGGAGTTTGTAGCTTGTAGTAAATTTTGTATCACTTCCTTGTGTAGCTCCACAATCCTTTACGCCATATGCTCTGCTTCCTGGTTAAAATCCACAGTATATGGAAGATTAGTAAGATCTACTGTTAGTCTAGGAAGCCTTGTATACACAATGTCAATGGGGGACTTCTCTCTGGATCGGTTCTTCATATGATTATATGCAAACTCGGGTTGTGCAAGCATAAGATCCCATTGTTTTGGCCTGTTTCCTCCTAGACATCGCATGAGGTTTCCCAATGTTCTATTAGTGACCACTGTTTTGCCGTCTGTTTGCGGGTAGTGACCTCTGTTTGGCCGTCTGTTTGCGGGTGGGTAGTTGTGCTAAATTTCAAACCTGTATCAAACTTTTTCCACAAAGTTTTCCAGAAATGACTTAAAAATTTTACATTCCGATCTGACACTATGGTCCCAGGAACGCCATGTAATCTTACAATTTCTCTAAAAAACAAGTTAGCTATGTAGATGGCATCCGAAGTCTTCTTACAAGGTAAGAAATGAGACATTTTACTAAAACGGTCGACAACAACTAAAACGGAATCGTAGCCTCTTTGGGTTTTTGGTAAACCAAGTATAAAGTCCATCGATAGGTCTTCCCAAATAGATTTAGGAATTGGTAAGGGAGAGTATAGACCTGTGTTTTGTGACTGTCCCTTAGCTGTTTGGCATATGAGACAACAGCTTACAAAGTTGTATACGTCCCTGCGTAGTTGGGGCCAAAAGAAACGATTTGTAACAAGATCAAGGGACTTATCACGTCCCAAGTGTCCTGCCCGCCACTTTGTAGGTCTTTAATCAATGTTTCCCGAAGAGATGTACGAGGAATACACAAACGATCCCATTTGAAAAGAAATCCATCAACAATGTGGAAATCCTTGCAATTGACATGCTGGTTTCATTGTGTCCAGATGCTATGAAAGTCGCTGTCATGCTCGTAGGATGTTGGTAGATGATCAAATGTTATTATTTGTCCAGCAAGAAGAGTTAGAAGGCTAGCTTTTCTACTTAAAGCATCAGTGCCTGCTTGATGTTTGATTACAAAATCGAACTTTTTAATAAAGGATATCCAACGGAGCATGCATACGATTAATAGTTTTTGAGTTTGTATATATTTAAGAGAAAAATCATCAGTATATAGGATAAATTCTTTTCCAATTCGATAATGTTCCCATTGTTTTAAGGCCTTGATTAAAGCATATAGTTCTTGTTCGTATGTACACCATTTTTGTCTCGGAGGAGTAAGTTTTTCACTAAAATACTCTTGTCCTTTTTGAGACAAAGACAGCTCCTATTCCGATTCCAGATGCATCCACAGCTACTTCAAATGGTTGTGGGAAATCAAGTCGGCCTAGAACTGGGGTGGAGCTAAGTTTATTCTTTAGGTCCCTGAAGCTAGTGTCTTGTTCGGTATTCCAAAAAAATTGTTTTTCTTTAAACATTATGTCAAAGGAGTAGCTATAGTGCTGAAATGTCGGATAAATTTTCGATAAAATGAAGCTAAGCCTAAAAAACACTGAACATCACGGACGGATGTGGGGGTAGGCCATTGTTGAATTGCAGGTCGAACTGATATACCATATTTATTGATAAAAAATTCAAGGAATGCTGATGCAAACTTGCACTAGAGTTTCTTGGAGAAATATGAATGTTGATTTTATTAAGGAGGCAAGCTTCTAGTTATAGAGGTTGCTGGACAACAACTCATAAAGTAATTACAAGTTACCGTGAGGTAACTACCAAACTGTTTTAAACTAGAATACAGCAAACTAGTTCTTAACAGAAAACTAACAGCTAGCTATTACATCAATTTCCCCTACCGTAAAATAGAACTCGTCCTCCAGTTAAGAGGAATATTAAAGGCATCCGGAGGGTGATAATTGTACAAATCAGCAACGTTGAAGATAGGGCTTATGTTATATGCTGTTGGAAGTTGTAGCTTGTAAGCGTTGGTTCCATAGCGTTCAAGTATTGGAAAGAGGCCTAACTTCTTTTTCGTTAGCTTAGAGTAGTAGGAAATCTGCGCTTCCTCAAATGAATCATGACCAAATCTCCCACTTGAAATTCTTTCGAACGACGTCCTTTGTTAGCTGTAGCTTTGTATTTCTCATTTGACTTGGCTATGTGATCACGAACTTCTTGATGGAGCTCTTGAATTCTGTTGGCCATTTTCTCTGCTTCAAGACTGAGATTAACAGAGGAAGGTAGATTAGTTAGATCTAAAGTTAATCGAGGGAGTTTAGTGTAAACTACCTCAAATGGGGACTTCCCTGTAGTTCTATTCTTCATGTGGTTGTAGGCGAACTCTGCTTGAGCCAAAGATATGTCCATTGCTTAGGATGGTCACCACTGATACATCTAATAAGGTTGCCCAACGATCGGTTTGTAACCTCTGTCTGATCATCCGTTTGAGGATGGCTAGTGGTGCTAAATTTTAATGATGTATCAAATTTTTTCCATAGGGTATGCCAAAAGTGACTTAAAAACTTAACATCGCGATCAGAAACTATTGACTTGGGAATTCCATGAAGATGGATAATTTCTCTAAAAAATAGAGTAGCAATAGCCACCGCATCAGATGTCTTTTCACATGCTAGAAAGTGTGGCATTTTTCTAAATCTGTCTACAACCACCATCACGGATCAAACCCCCGTTGCGTTCTAGGCAGACCAAGGACAAAGTCCATTGATAGATCCTCCCAAATGTTCTTCGGGATAGGTAAAGGTCTATAGAGTCCTGTGTTTTGTGTGGTACCTTTATAAGTGTGACACGTAAAACATTTGAAAATATAGTTTGTGACATCTTTGCAGATTTGTGGCCAGAAGACCGAGCGGTAACAATATCAAGAGTTTTGTCTCTGCCTTAGTGACCCGCAAGGCCACCCACGCGGGTGTCATGTAAAATGGCCTCCCGAAGGGATGTATGAGGAATACACACTGTGTTCCCTTTAAAAAGGTACCCTTCTACTATATGGAAATCATCTACTGCAATATGATTACGGCATTTATACTAAATATCATGGAAATCTATGTCTCCTTCATACATGTCAGGGAGATATTCAAAGGCCACAATTTCACCTTTACGAAGTGTCAAAAGGTTGCCTTTTCGGCTTAAAGCATCATCGGCTTTATTAGTGCTACTCGCCCGATGTTTGATGACAAACTCAAACCACTGTAGAAAAGATAGCCATCGCGCATTCATGTGACTTATAGTTTTCTGAGTGTGTAAAAACTTTAAAGAGAAATCATAAGTAAATAAGATAAACTCCTTGCTTAAAAGATAGTGTTCCCATTGTTTTAAAGAGCGGACTAAAACATAGAGTTCTTGTTCATAGGTGCTCCACTTTTGTCTAGATAGGCTAAGTTTCTCACTAAAGTATTCAATGGGATGATTATTTTGTGAAAGGACGGCTCGTATTCCTATTCCAGAAGCGTCTACAGCTACTTCAAAGGGAAGGTCAAAATTTGGTAGTGCTAAAACTGGGCTTTGGCTTAATTTATTTCGTATAAGGTGGAAACTTTCAATTTGTGGCTGTCCCCATGAGAACTGTCCTTTCTTTAAGCAATTGGTTAGAGGGGAGACAATTGAACTAAAGTTTCGAATAAATTTTCTATAGAAAGATGCAATCCCTAGAAAACATTGGACATCCTTTACTGTTTTAGGTTTAGCCCATTCTATTATTGCTCTAATTTTTACAGGGTCCATGCTGATTTTGTTATAGCCAATAATGAATCCTAAGAAAGAAATTTCTGTGGTTACAAATAAACATTTCTTCATATTTATGACTAGTTTATTGGATGCCAAAGTACAGAAGAGCAACTTAAGGTGTTGAATATGGTTAGTCATGCTTTGGCTATAAATGAGGATATCATCAAAATAAACAACAACAAATTTATTGATGAACGGAAGCAAAACCTGGTGCCTAAGCCGCATGAAGATGCTTGGTGCGTTGGAGAGTCCAAATGGCATAACTAGCCACTCAAATAAGCCCTCATTTGTCTTAAATGTCGTCTTCCATTCATCGCCCGGTCAAATTCTTATTTGGTGGTAACCACTCTTTAAATCGACTTTAGAAAAGATTGTAGCTCCTCCCAATTGATCCAATAGGTCAGTTGGGGAATCTATACTTTATGGTTATTTTATTTATTGCTCTACTGTCCACACACAAGCACCATGTGCCATCCTTTTTTGGTGCAAGGAGGGCGAGCACAGCGCAAGGACTTAGGCTCGGTTGTATATGCCCCTTATCGAGTAATTCCTGAATTTTATCGTGTAAGATCTTATATTCGGATGGGCTCATACTATAATGGGGTAAATTAGGTAAAGTAGCTCCCGGGAGAAGGTCAATGTTGTGTTGCATATTCCGAAGGAGTGGTAGCCCATTCGGCATGTCCACAATAGTGCTGAATTCGTTTAATAGTGGCTGTATTTCTGGGTGAATAGTATTGCTGCCTTCATCAGAGCCAAACTCCTTGATAATCAAACCTAGGATAGGCTCTTTGTGATTAGCAATAAAGTTTTTGGCCGAAGAGATGGTAAATAAGCTACTTTTCCCTTTGTCACTATCTTTCAGTGGGAGGGTTTTAGTTGGGTTCAATGGAAGTAGCACCACCTTTTTATCCATCCAAAAGAATTCGTATGTATTGTCCCATCCCTTATGTAAGGCTTGAGTATCGTATTGCCATGCACGTCCTAGTAAAACATGGCAAACATCCATGTCTAACACATCACACACTATTTGGTCTTTATAGGTCGCTCCAATAGAAAGGGCCACAGTGCATGTATGTGTAACTTGGGTTTCACCGCCCTTCTTGATCCAAGACACCTTATAAGGTGCAGGGTGAGGAGATAAGGGTAAGTGCAAACCCGTGACCAACTTACTTGCGATAATATTTTCTGTACTTCCACTATCGACTATGATGTTGCAAATCTTACCATTTGATCGTGCATCTCGTCTTGAAAGGAGCATGACGCTGGTGGGGTAATTCTGATTTTGGGGTTAGAAGAATTCTCTCAAGAACACAAGAAATGAGCTCCCCGATGTCTGGTTTGTTCAGTATACTCAATTTCGTCTTCAAGATCATCGGCACTGTCTTCTTGACCATCTTCTTCTTCTACCAATGTAATCGCTTTCCTTTGAGGACATTCATTAGATAAGTGGCCGGTTTGTCCACAACGGAAACACTTACCTAATATTGGCTGGCTGTATCAGTATGTGTTGCTATTCTTCTTCCCTGCCACATTATTAGTTGATTTAGTTTTATCAAGATTAAGTGCAGATTGTTTACCTTTGGTTGCGCTTGATGTATGGAGAGGAGAAGCGCTTGATGTATTGAGAGGAGAAGCGCTTGATGTATGGAGAGGAGAAGAAAGATTGTCTCCGGAAGCAGCCATCTTTTTAGACGTTCCCCCTTGTTCCCACGTTCTTCTTCTTGAATATTGCTTCTTGAAACGATTTCCAATCTGTTCTTCGATAGTGGTTGCCATGGACATAGCTTCATTTAAGTAGCCTATTGGTTGCAAGACTATTTGTTCTTTAATGTCAACGTGCAAGCCACCAATGTATCTTGCAACTAAGTAATGTTGACTTTCCACCAAATTGGTTCTTGCTCCCAATCGATGAAATTCTTCCGTATAATCTGCTATAGACCTTGAACCTTGTTTACAGTTTTGATATGGTTGTACAAGATTTGTTCTAAATTAACCGGAAGAAAACGTTCCCTCATAAGTTTCTTCATTCTTTCCCAACTCCAAATAGGTTGTTTGCCATATCTTTGCCTATTGATTTCTAATTGATCCCACCAAGCAGAGGCTCCCCCTTTCAGTTTAAAAGCCACTAATCTAACTTTTTTGTGCTCTGGGGTTCCCATATAACTGAAAAAATTTTCTACATTTTTTATCCAATCCAAAAATCCCTCTATATCCATTTTGCCATGAAAACTAGGAAGGTGATTTTTATCTTATACTCACTGTTTTCTTGTTGTCTGGTTGGGTTAGGATACCTACCAAACCTTTCACCTTCGAACTCCCACGGTTGTTCCTCTTCATCACTTGAGGAGTCAAACATTAGATCATGTCGCCGCTGGAATAATGGATTCCGATTGACTTCTTGGCGCATTTGATGTGGTTCTTGAAAGTTTCTTGGCCCTAGATGAACTTCTTGCGGCCTTCTTGGTGGGGCTGCTTGCCTTTCTTGCAGATAGGTGTTTCTTCAGTCCTCAACTCCAACTTCTTGATTCATTCTTGTTTGGAGATGGGGGAGAAGTTCTCATCGGAGTTTATTGCACACTCAACGCCTCGAGTTTTTCATGGATGATTTCCAGAATGTGTTTAATCTCACCTACATCCTTTTGGATAGTTTTCACTTCTCCTGAAGTCATAAAAGAGCATTTGGCCAAGTTTATATAGAATTTATTCTGTTCAAGGGTTTGAAAAAGAGCATGGAGGTACTGCAAATGATCATGCTTTGTGTTACAGTATATATATTAGCATATTATATTCTGTATATTATATTCTCTTGTATTAATATGTATTAATTTGTCCTTTACCTTCTTCTTATAGGATTAGGTCAACCTTGTATATTTGTCTACATATATATAGACTTTAATAATGATAATAAGGGACATTGGATTCTCTCAAACCCTAGTGTTTACATGGTATCAGAACCACTAGGTTTCTTCTAAAATTTTTGAACTTAGGGTTTTGTGCCCACGAGGGTTTTGTACCCATTAGGGTTTTGTGAATTGGTATCCAACTCAACTCACCATCACCCACTACTGTTGCCACCATCGCTCACGCTGCTGTTTGTGGGTTTCCGTTGCCAACGTTGCTATTCGTGCGTTTCCGTCGCCGACGCTGCTGTTCGTGGTTTCTGTCTCGCCGACATTCGCGCTTCCGTCGCCGCCAACTGCCGCCCATCATCGTCGCCATACGCCTCCGTCACCGCCCGTTGGAGTACTTTAGGGGGGAAAAACCTTCATTAATTTCTAGAAGCAGTTTTTTACCAATTATTCTGCCACTAACTTCATCAAATTATACATTTAGATCAGCAAGGAATGTGTAAATCCAATCATCTTCTATTGTTTTCAGATGATATTTATAGTCATCCGAAGATTTCTACTCATGAGTATCAAAAAGGTCTAGGTCTTGTCAAATCCTTTTTAAAGAATTAAACTATTTTGAAACCGTATCGGTTCCTTGTCGCGTTTCTCTTAGTTTTAGTGTCAGTTCGAATGCCTGTGATTGATTTTCTAAGTCAGAATACATCTCATTTACGTTTTTTAATAAGTCACTTGCTACATAATAACACATAGTTAGCACTGACCGCCTCGTCCATAGTGTTAACTCACCATTTCATTACCATGGAATTTTACGTATCCCATGTATTAAATAAAGGATCTTATACGGCCGGTTTTATTATTATTATTATTATTTTATTATTATATTTCTAGTAAGATAGCCAATTTACCTTGCCCACGAGTATACATCCGAACACTTTGAGACCAACGAAAAAAATTATCTCCATTAAGCGGGATACTAGTAATTTGGATAGTTCGAGACCAATGAAAAAAATTATCTCCATTAAGTGGGATACTAGTAATTTGAACTGGGTTTCAGAAATGTTAGAGTGAGTCTGTTTTCTTTGAAGATTCATCAGTCATAACTACTGATTTGAACCACAAAAAAGAAGAAAAAATAATAGAAGCATAACCTACAGCAGGAAAGTTGAATCGTCCCAAAAAACTAGATTGAACCGAATTAGAAACTTGAAGTGGATTGAACTAGAAATTTGAATCGAAACGAACCAGAACTTTAAATCGAATCGAACTGGAATTTTGAACCAGTGACCTAGCAGCAATTTTGAACAATTTCTGCAAAGCGATTCAATCAATAGCGGCGGTCCTCATATACAAAGATGGCAATGAAAAATGGTTATTGTAGTGGATGACATTTTCAATTTTTCAACCTCAAAATTTTCATTATTGGGCTTTTTCTGCTGTTAAAATAACAGCGAACTAGGTTTTTCTTATTGATTTTGTTAACACTTCTCTGCTATTTCCTTTATTTAAACTTTTGGTCTCTGTTAGTGTACGTGGTTTTAAATTACAATAGATGTTTAATGCCCTTATACATGTTTAAAGATTTCATTAAAAGGTTCATTCTGTAGTACACAAGATGGTTGTTAAGTTATACGAAGCTTATTGACGATGATTAAATTTTGTAGCCTTGATTAATGAAGATAAACTGGAAGCTAATTACGCTGAAGATGATGAAGAAGATGACATAGCAATTGAGAGTGGTGATGAGGGATTAGATGCATATGAAGAATTCGATATGGTAATCCCAGGTCCATCTCATCTCATTTCATATATTAATTTTTATGTTTCTGCTTTTATTTCTAATTTTTCCTTATTCTGTAGGTTGGTGACAATGACGAGATTTCTCTGCAGTCACATTCATGTAACTAATTACCCACCTTTTGTACAAATCCTGATTTTTTCTTTTAAGTTTTGTTGTTTGATGAGGGGGTATATTTTTGCTATGTTTTTAAGAAAATGATTTTTCTGGTTTCTTGTATATGAGTTTGATCACTTTGTGAAGATGGTTGACGAAGAGAAGATAATTTTGAGGGATTCCTTTGCCAATGGAGTGTAGTAGTTGGTAAATGTGGGATAGTGGTGATAGATGGAATATCATATCTAAACCCTTGGAAAGTAGAGGTTTAGGGTTAGTAACTTAAGAAGGAAGACTGAAACTTTATTGACCAAATTGGTCATTGAGGTTTTTGAGTGAACTGAATGAACTAAAATGGTGGTTAGCATCTGTCAAAGGGAAATTTGGGAGGTTCAAAAAGTGAAATTTGAGCAGAAAGTTCGAGATGCATTTGGTCGAACATTACAACGTTCGAAGCTACTTTTAAGGAGTTATCTTCAATGGTTGCAATGGTATGGAAACAAAACTTCTTGGAATGATATTTGTTTGGCAACCAATCTTTGGCCTTGACTTTTTTGAACTTTTGGGTTGGAGAACATTGTTTTGCGAAGCTTGGAAGGAAGATTTTCCCAAGATCACGTTATTGTAAGAAGAAACCTTTTGGGTGAACTTGGTGGGCTTTTACAGTTGATTGTGGGAGGGATTTCGATTAGTAGGGCAGATAAGATTTTGGTCACTTAAGAAGTTGGATTTCTTGCTAAATCCCTTATGATTTATTTTTTAATACAACGCGTAGGAGTGAGGATTCGAACTCACAACTTTTTAGTCAGATATAGGTGCCTCAACTAGTTGAACTAAGCTTAAGTTGACTTATGAATGATTGGTTGCTTCTTTATTATGAAAGAAATCTCATTTCTAGAAAACTAAGTATTGTGGAAAGGTGAATTTCTTGGCAAGGTTAGACTTGCATAGAAGGTTTAAATTTGGCTGAAAAGAGAAGCTCATATTTGACAGTTAGCGTCATCAGTTTCCTTGTGTGTGTTTGAAAAGCAGGGGAAAGTCTCCAGATAATTAGTAATTTTGTTTAGTTGTAAATTCATATTATTACTTTTACAAAAGGTGTGCCCCTGCCATGTTGCTAGCTTATAGTTGATAAGTTGCATCCGATCCACACTTGTTTTGAAAGAATCGATCAATCCTTAAAATATGATGGTTGTTCTTATTATTGTATGAATTTCTCTATTTTATTTCACTTTTTGAATGGCATACTGACATGATGGACTTCCAGATGTAAACATGGATGATGTTTCAAGAACGCATCTGCAAGAGCTCTTCGGTACCTTTCCATCCTTCGAAGAAGATGCAGATGGTAGCGAGGAAGAATATCAAATATATGAGCAAGACAGTGATGATACCAATGACTCTGACCATGATGATTGCTAGCCTTTTTTGGGGGGATATATGATGTTAATTAGTGCCCTATATTTTTGTTTTGTTAAATGGTTGATTATGATAATCATTTTTATTAATTTATCAATTAGTGACATAGTATTTATTTAAAAACTAAGATGGCTCGATTGCTCGGTTTAAGGCTAGACTTCTGGCCCAAGGATTTCATCAAACTGTCGATATTAATTTCACTGAGACATTCAGCCTGTAGAGACTAATGTTGGAGAGAATCCAATGTAATGTATTCTCATTATTAAAGTTTATATATATAGACAAATATACAAGGTTGACTTAATCCTATAAGGATAAGGTAAATGACAAATTAATATTAATACAATAATATAAAATATACTAATATATACTCTAACACTCCCCCCTCAAGTTGGTGCATCTATGTTAATCATGTCCAACTTGTTAGACATAATCTATTCGTGCTCCGTTTAATGCTTTAATAAAGATATCTCCTAGCTGCTCTCTAGTCTTCACATACCCTGTAGCCACCAATCCTTGCTGTATTTTCTCACGTACATAATAACAATCAACTTCAATGTGTTTGGTTCGTTCATGAAATACTGGATTAGATGCAATATGAAGAGCTGCTTCATTATCACACCAAAGTTTCATTTGAGTGGTGATGTCAAATCCCAATTCAATCAGAAGTTGATGTATCCATACTAATTCACACACCGACTGTGTCATAGCTCTGTATTCTGATTTAGCACTCGAATGCGACATCACGTTTTGTTTCTTACTTTTCCAAGAAACTAAATTACCTCCGATAAATACACAATATCCTGAGGTTGATCTTCTATCTTCCTTAGAACCTGCCCAATCAACATCTGAAAAACATTCAATATTAAGATTACCATGATCTTTATATAACAAACCACGTCCAGAGCACCTTTCAAATAACATAGAATATGTTCCAATGCGATCCAATGGTCAGTCGTAGGAGAACTCATAAACTGACTCATAATACTGATTGGATAAGCTATCCCTGGCCTCGTAACCGTAAGATAAATTCAGCTTTCCTACTAATCTCCTATACTTCTCAGGATCTTTCAACAACTCTTCTTTTGTAAGTTGTAAATTAGGTATCATTGGGGTACTACGTGGCTTAGCAGCTAACTTTCCTGTTTCAGTTAACAGGTCAAGTACATATTTCCTCTGTGATAAGAGAATCCCCTTCTTGCTCCTTATTACCTCAATTTCTAAGAAATATTTCAGCACTCCCAAATCCTTCGTAAGAAATTGACTATGAAGGAAAGTTTTGAGTGATACGATGCCTGATGAATTATTACCAATAATCACAATATCATCAACATATACAACCAGTAAAATAACACCAGATTCAGTTTGTTTATAGAAGACAGAATGGTCAGACTTACTATTCTTCATTCAAAGTTCTCAACCACCTGACTGAATTTTCCAAACCATGCTCTTGGACTTTGTTTCAACCCATATAAGGATTTACGAAGACGACATACCTTTCCATTCTCCCCCTGAGCAACAAAACCTGGTGTTTGCTCCATATACACTTCCTCTTGAAGATCACCATGGAGGAAGGCATTTTTAATATCAAGTTGATGTAACGGCCAATGGTGAATAGATGCCAAGGAAATGAATAACCTAACAGAAGTCGATTTAGCAACAGGAGAAAAAGTATCACTATAATCAATTCCGTAAGTCTGCGCATATCCTTTAGCAACAAGGCGAGCTTTCAAATGGGCAATGGATCCATCAGGATGAACTTTAACGGCAAACACCCATTTACAACCGATAGGTTTTTTTCCTGTAGGAAGAGACACTAAATCCCAAGTACCGTTGTCATCTAAGGTAGTCATTTCCTCCAACATAGCAGCCCGCTAACCAGGATGAGACAAAGCTTCATGAACAATTTTAGGAACAGATACATACTCCAGGGATGCGAGAAACGAACAAGTAGGTGAGGACAAATGGTTATATGAGACACAAGAAGAAACAGGATAATTACATTTACGCTTACCTTTTCTAAGAGCCATTGGAAGGTCATCACTTGTTCCTGGATCCTCGTGCAAAGAAGCTGCTGGTATAGGGCATGAGTCCGTAGGAGGTTGCCGACGAGAATAAACTTGAGTAATGGTGGGAAGAGAAGGATCAGGCACATAGGAAGATGTATTGCTAGGAAGCTCTTTAGTGGAAGGAGAGACAATGAAATATACAAGAAAGTCATCATCTTCTTGTAAACTCTCCCCCTGACTGGTACTCAAAGATGATGAAAAAAGAGTATTTTCAAAGAATGTAACGTCAGGAGAGACAAGATATCTATTGAGATCAGGACAATAACATCGATACCCTTTTTGAACACGAGAATAACCAAGGAAAATGCATTTCAAGGACTTGGGGTCCAATTTGGTGAGCTGAGGGCGAACATCACGAACAAAACAGGTGCAACCAAATATTTTAGGTTTAATAGGAAATAAAGGTTGCATAGGACATAGAGTACGATAAGGTATCTCACCCTTAAGAACTAATGAAGGCATGCGATTAATCAGGAAGCAAGCCGTCGAAATAGCATCGGCCCAAAAATATTTTGGAACATGCATTTGAAACATTAAGGCCCTTGCTGTTTCGAGAAGATGTCTATTTTTTCTTTCTGCAACTCTATTTTGAGACGGAGTATCGACACAAGAGAATTGGTGAAGAATACCATATTCACTCAAATAAGAGCCAAGAGCTCCAGAAAAATATTCTTTAGCGTTATCACTTCGTAGAACTTTAAGAGAGCCACCAAATTGAGTTCGAATTTCAGCATGAAAGTTATGAAAATGAGAAAGTAACTCAGAACGATGTTTCATTAAATATAACCAAGTTACACGGAAAAAATCATCGACAAAGGTAACAAAGTACCGAAACCCACTTTTGGACTCAATAGGACACAGACCCAAACATCATAATGAACTAATTCAAAAAATGTAGTAGCTCGTTTATCGACTCTATGATACAAACTAAGACGATAAAACTTAGCAAATTCTTCCGCAGGAATTGTAACTAACTTGCCAGCATTATCAGGAGTAGATTCAACATGGGCAGACGAATAATATCTCCTAAATTTGATTTTGGAGCACTAGAACGTTGAGCGTTTGAAGTCGTGGAATTCTCTTGGTAGGTATTACCTCTATTTACATTTGTACTACGTCCAACTAAAGCACTATTAAACTGAGATGACAAGACGGGTTGTGACTTCACAACTCGAAGTACTCGAGTGTATGCCTCCTCTAAAGCTGGAATTTCCGAACCAGAGAGTAATTGGTCTTTGGCCACATCAAATCTAGGTGGAAGACCAAGAAGAAAACTGATAACCTCTAGTTGTTCGCGTTTGGGAAGCCGAACTTTTGCATCATTACTATCTGGGAGTAATGCATTAAACTCTGCATAAATTCGTTTGTGTTCCATAAAGTAATTTGTAAGAGATTGGTCACCAAACTCAGGTTGGTAGAAGCGCTTGGAGATTTCAAATATTTGACTAACATTTCCTTTTCCAGAATAAAGGAATTCTAAATATTTAAGCAACTCTTTAACATACTCACATTCATTGACCAAGCCAATAATGTCACCCTCGATCGAATTCTTGATCTGCAAAACCAATCGAGCATCATCCCGCAACCAAGCTTTCTTGCTCTCATCCTCAGGCGGATCCTCAGTTATGTGATCGTCCATATCAATACTTCGCAAAAAATGACGAACATTGATTTTCCATGAAGAATAGTTTGATCCATTCAACTTGTGTTCTGTGATTTTTGATATCATTGGGATCACCTCAGAAGTTACGATTGATTTCTTCTCAGCCATAACAAACAAGCGAACTTATATGAACAAAACGACAGAACTAGACCAAACCACCAGAACTAAACAAAACAGATGAATCAAACGGTTGGAACCAAACCGAATTAGGTGTTTTCTGAAACCATAAACCCCAAGTGCTACCCCACGACAACCAAAGGGGCGAAGGCAATTGGCGGTCACGGAAGCGCACGACGACGAAGGTGCGAAGGATGGCAAGACGAAACCCACGAATAGCAATTGGAAAACAGCTGGCAAATCAGTAAACGGTGGCGGCGGTGGTCGGCGGTGGCGGCGGTGATTTGTGTTGGATAGCAATGAACAAACTCTAATGGGCACAAAACCCTAATGGCGCAAAACCCTAATGGGCATCAAAACCCTAATGGGCAAGAAACCTAGAGCTCTGATACCATGTAGAGACTAAGTTTGGAGAGAATCCAATGTAATGTATTCTAATTATTAAAGTTTATATATATAGAAAAATATACAAGGTTGACTTAATCCTATAAGGAGAAGGTAAATTACAAATTAATATTAATACCTCTAACGCAGCCTGTTACCATTGGCATCTTCTTCCTTCTGGCTTTAGCAAATAATTGGGTGGTGACACAAGTTGGCATTAACCATGATTTTTACATGGTGTCTTAATTGAAGATGTTTTATTATGAAACCCCCTAGTTTTATTCCTATAGGTTCATCTCATATTATTTGCAAAAGTTATACAAAGTTCTTTATGGCCTAAGCCTCACGTACAAGTTACATTCTTTTTTCATACCTTATCATTTGTTAGTTGTAAAGTTGACTCTTCTGGCTTATATCGATATGATATTGCTAGGTTTTATTTTACCTACTAGTTTATGTTAGTTTATGTTGATGTCATCACAGGGAGTTCATCTTTTGACATTGATCATCGTGTTGCTTTACTATCTGACAACTTAGTTATTTCTTAGGGATTGAAGTGGCCTTCCCAAAGGCGGGTGGTTTGTTTTTATCGTAGTCAAATTATATTTCAGACCACCTGCATAAAACCAAGATGAATGAAGGCAATGCCTTTAGCACACCAATTATCAGTGGGTCTATAATTTATGTTTTTTGGAGTGATTCGTTTCCAGCTGTTCATCTATATAGGAGAATAATTTGTGCTCTTCAATATGTTACTGACACACGTTCTGAAATTGCTTATGTAGTAAACAAGGTGTCCCAATTTATGCATGTTCCCATGATGAATCACTAGTATGCAAGAATTCTGTTGTATTTACTGGTAGACATATTCTTTCGTAAGCCCTCTGATTTTTCTCTTCGAGACTTTGTTGACTCAAATTGAGCGTATGACCTTGATGATCATCGCTCTATGTCGAAGTATTGTATACAATTTGGTGGTAATTTAATCTCTTGGACTTTTAAGAAACAAATAGCTGTTTCGAGCTCCAGTACCAAGG